CTTTTTTTTTTTTTTTTTTTTTTTTCTTCAATAGAAGGGCTGCAGCCTTGAGATCTCATCATCCATGGTTAAAAAAAAGAAAAGAAAAGACCTCATCATCCACTCTTGTGCTGTTTTCTAGAGTCCGACAACTCTAGACGGACTCTAGACTATTTTCTAGAGTCTACCGTCTTCCCCCGAACGTAACGCACCCTGAAATTGAACGTATGCAAGCTGTATTTCCGGTCCGGTACAGCCAAGATGAGGGTGCGTTCTGTTCGGGGGAAGACGGTAGTGTAGTGGATCGAGACCCTTTTACTCCTCTTGAGTTCGAACTCAGGTCTGTATTTCTTTTTTTCTTTTTTTTCTTTTTTTTTTCAGGTCTGTAATTCAACTTTAACGTGTCGATTTATGCGTGCCATCCTGAACTGAATTGCGCAGGGACCATTTTGGTAATTACCCTTCTCTGTATCGTTCCACTTTTAGCGGATGTCCCAAAGACCGCTAACGTTTCAAGAGCATGTGGGCCCCGCCAAAACTACACAACGTTCTTTTTTTTTTTTCAATCATCCTGAATTGAATTGCGCAGGGACCATTTTGGTAATTACCCTTCTCTGTATCGTTCCACGTTTTTTTTGAGCGGATGCCCCAAGGACCGCTAACGTTTCAAGAGCATGTGATGTGGGCCCCGGCAAAACTACACAACAATCTTTCTTTTTTTTTTTGTAATGTGGCCCGATGGACCACGGATCAGATATTGAACTGATCAGAACAGATACATTGCACTTGATCTATTTTTAGCCAAAAGGCCGAGAAAGGTATAAAACTACACAACAATCGCGGTCACAGGGACCACTATCAAAAATATATATATATATTTGTGACGATATATATCAAAAACAAAATCGCGGTCGCAGAGAAGATTGAAAAAAAAAAAAAAAAAAAAAAAAAAAAAAAAAAAAAAAAAAAAAAAAGGGAAAAAAACTACACAACATTCGTCATGTATCTGTTGATGTGTTGATTGTGGCGGCACATTCCAATTTGTATTATAGTGAGTCAAATCCGAGTGTATCTGGACGATTGTTCCATGGAGATACATTTTTCTTTGGACTGACGTGTCCTGGAGCGAGGCTCTGTATCTGCACAGATTGGCCACGAAGAGGCCACGTCAGCCGGGCGGGCAAACGACGCTTCGAGTCGCGGGGCAGAAACGACAGTGCGTCGGGATCCCCCTGAAGCGGACGCAACGAAGCGAAACGAAGTGC